ATCGATAAACAAAACAAATTTTTTTATCAATTAGCCAAAAGAAACTTTAACTTACATTACTTTTATGTTATATTTTTTACATAAATATTTAATTTTGAGAATCTTTTGTGACCAGACCTCAAAAAAATAGCCGTTATCTCTTCTCTGCCTATGCTTTATAATTATAAGCTAATTCTATGCGTTATTATTATTTGCATTTGAACAAAAGTAGTTTATAGATATTTATATATAATTACATAATTCTATTAATTTTTATTAAGAATAATTATTGTGGAAATGGATGTATATTCTTCTTTATTTTTGATTAATAAAAACGAATAAGTGACTATTAACAATTTTGTCACAGGAATTTGGGAATGACTTGTAATTTGAATTGGTGTTGTTTATTGTATGAAAGTTGCTCAAGGAGTGGTTTCCTTTATTGTGAGAAAACAGTTGCCTGAAGAGGGATGTGGTCGTCCATCTGAAATGCATTGCAATAAAAGATATTTTTAGAGGTTGATTAAGTGATCTTGGTTTTTTTTTTTTAAAGATGGATATAACAAAAGAGATGTGACAAAATTGTTAATAATCTCTCATTGGTTTTTATTAACCAAAAATAAGAATTTTTATTAAATTTATTAATAAGAAATGAAATGAAAAATCAGTTTAAAGGCTTTTTATTACAAATTATAGTTATAAAACTCCTTAAATTCAAGGTTGCAACATTGATTTGTTGTTGTAATTAGTCAACGGAATATGATTTAGGTTTATTTTGAGAAATATTTTATCATTTCATTGAGTAGTTTTTCAGGCTTTTCCATATGAATGTGGTGATCTGAATCACTGATGCATTGCATTGTTAGATTGGGAAATGCAATTTTTAAGTCCTTTGAAGGTCTGAAAAAAATTAAAAATACAGTTAAAGTATATATATTGTACAGTACACTGGTGATTTCAGTGGTAGTTTTAGATATAAGCAGCTTAGGCTTTTCTAGGATTTCATGTTTCAGAGGTCTTGGATGTACAAAAATACGTTGCTTTTTCAGCTTGGTTCAGCATTCAGAATTCAACACTGGCTAAAATCCTAGATGTTACATAATATCAAGTTATGTTACTAGCTTTACATTATGTAAACTTACATGAAAAAGGGCCTTATAAGTCATTTTTAACTGGGTCAAGGATGGCAAGCTTTTTTCAGTATGTATGCCAAAGTAGGCATATTTAACTTTTAAAAATAATGCTGAAATTTTAGAGTTTCAAAAAGAGATGAAGTAAATACATTTTTAATTAGAATAAATTAAAAAAGCTGGTTGAGAAAAAATTTATGATATTATGAACTAAATGTAAAAATTGAAATTAAGATACATTGAAATCAATACAGTTAAAAGTAAACAAAATTGTATATGTTGTCTGCCAGACAATTCTCCCAACAAGCCACCTTGGACACATTCTATAATTTGCCATTGTTGACTTAGGACATTGCATAACCTAAAACCTCCACTGATTGGTGATTGTGCAACATTCTGTTATACTTACACAACATAATTAGATTGTCCTGCATAAATTAATAAGGTGTCTGTATAGCATAGACAGCGTAACGGATAACAGTTAGTTAATGACTTATTGACTCCTGATGATTCAAGTTCATTCAAATTAATTTTCCAGGTAAATTCATCTTCAACTTTTGCAAAGCTTTGCAAAAGCATTTTACGAAGAAACTGTTGCTAAAATGTAAAATGTTTTAATTAAAAAACATTGAAGATCTAAAAATATAAACAGTAGTTATTAATTTATTTATGTACAAAATTCTCATATTTAGAAAAGAAATTCAGTTTTTTTTGACATGGATACATTGCACTAAAAATATTACACAATTTGCATGTCTAATTTAGTTTGTATAATAAATATTTCCAGCATTAAATTAAAAGCAATATTTATATATAAAAAGACTTACTTTTATTTTAGTTTTAAAAAATTGGTCAACCTTCTCTTTTGCATTATTAAAAGATATTTGAGGTGGTAAAGACAATAGTGCTTCACGCATGATGCGAATAACAGCAGTAATTTCATCATCCACTCTGAGAGGAATATCAACTGGCGATACATCGATTAAAACTATCTTACAAACCAATTCTTCCTGAAAACAGTATGGAATTATTACAGTTAATTAAACATTAGTTAACAGAAAATTTATAAATTAAAATTTACCATTTCTGTTCCCAAAAGAATGGAAAGAATTCCACCTAGATTATGTCCCATTAATATCACTGGTCTATCAAATTGAATTAAGATTTCTTTTGCTTCTTCCACCAATAGTGAATAATCTGAATATGATAATGTTTTACTATCTCCATGATTAGGGAGGTCAAAAACATAAACCTTAAAGAATAAAACATATTTATGGATTGTTACAATGGATTTAAATGAGTATATATTATATATTATACTCATATTATGTATATGTATATATTATATAAGTAATTTTATAAACAACCTGAAACAGTTTTGGACAGATAATAGATTTTTTTTCAAATTGATTTGTAATTTGAATTTAAAATATATTTAATGATAATATATGGAATTTAGTATTGTACTTCATGGAAAAAAGCAATTGATCATTCAGCACTAACTGAGCTGGATGTTATTTATTTATTTATTTTTTTTCTTTCTTTGGAAAACTAATTGTAACATTTGACTAGAATAATATGAAAGTAAGTAAAATTATATAAACATATGCTTAGAATGTTTTTTAAATACTTCTTTAATCTAAATATTATTCCTATAAATTTAAATCAAATTCAAATTGATTTAATTCACATAATCATATAATCATGGTTATTACACTACATGGAAATATTGATTGATAATTTCATGATTCATAACAGCGAATGGATTGATTTGGATTAAATTTTTGATTCTAAAAACCATTATTTTGCTTTAATTCCTACAGGTACTAAACAGACAAAAATATTAATAAAATTATACAATTTCTTATCTTGCAAAGAGAACTGGAAACATTTCTTTTCCTGTAATCTTCCTATAAAGATACTTAATTTGAAATATTTTCAATATATGGTTTTTGTTACATGAACGTTGGAATTTTAATATGATTACTTGGCACATTTTAAAAAATATTCAAAAAGTGAATTTTGCATAAATGCAAATGAAATATTAATGACTTTTTTAACTTGAAATACACATCTTAACTTGATTTCATTAAATATACATAATCTGTTTATCATTTATAGTAAATTTTGAGATAACTTATACCCTGAAACCTTGGCTATAGACCACAGCTTGTACAAGGTTATAAACTTATTTGTAAAATTAATCATGTCATCAAAAGCACCTTAAAAGTGATGCTGTTTCTTTCCTATTGGTTTTTATTCTGGAGTCATATCCTAAAATCTTGGAGATAAGCTGTGTCCTATATACAAGAGTATCTTGTCCACAAAAGGTTTATTCTTCATTATTGTAATTAAATTTTAATTAACATTTTTGTACAACAAAAATAAATGAAAATCTTAAACAAGATCATTGTCCCATGTAGAAATTTAAGCTGAAAACCACTAATTTAACATTTAATTTATCATTATGCTTCATATATTGTTTGTAATTTAGAGGAGTTTCCTCATTTGTAAGAGGATTAGGAAAATAATGAAATATTTTATAAAGATTGTATAGAATTTGGCAAAACTTTGTCAGTTTTGACTTCAAAAAAACTCTGATAGATAGTAAAGAATTTTATATACAGAATTTTTATCCAGCTGATTCAATACTCTTTCTGTGAATTTAGTTTAAGAAGAAACTTTAGAAATTATTATATGGGAGTAAGTAAATTGGAGAGTTGTTGCATATACTGTGATATATATTAAAAACTCTGTTCCAAAATACACTTGTAGAGAAACTGGAAACTCATAAATCAAAATATCACTAACTCTACACCTTCTATACTTTTCCAACAGCATTTTAATTTAAAACAAATGTTTTTGACCCCATTCAGAGGTCTGCCTCAGGTTAGAAAACTTATATTACAAAATTAAATAAATGAACTAAGTTATAATGGCAGAACTGTTACAGCTTATTTTAAATTTACAACATTTGAAAACGAACTATTTACAATTTTGAATGTTTTACTAATTTAAAATAATTGTTTTCAGGAACTTTTAAGCTTATAGTAATCATTTCATTAAAAAATATTTTTAGTAAATTATCTACTATATTAAATAACTTTATAAATGTATAACATAATTTAATTTTTTAATTGAATTTTACAGAAATATTAATGGAGAAATCATAGCAAATAGTGATTTTTAAATTATTTTTCTAATTTAACTAACATTAAAAATATTTAAAGATTTTATGTAATTTAACTGACCTCTCTATTAAGTTTCTCAGAAATGGATTGTGCTAATTCTGCCCAATTTTCTTTGCAGTCAAATAGCCCATGAAAGACGAGAATTGGTGGAAGATCAGGATCCACATTCTCTGCTTTATGAACATTGTAAGCCCAGTGGAGATTCATTCTAGAAAGTAACATATAACATTTTTTTATATGTATAGTAAATTACCNTATTGTCTCTAGCTAAGTTTGAACTATTAGTCGAAAGACCAGTTAATCTACCGACTCTGGTAATACACATTATGGTCTTTGCCATGCCAACAATAAAAACCTCCTGATAGTAAGTTATGGGGCCAAACATACCCGGCACAGACTACCCATGAAAATTCCTGACGTTCTCAATCTAGATTCAAACCCAAGTTTCCTAGAGTGGCAAGATGACGCCTTTACCACGTGATAGTTTGCCCGCCAAATCGTATGCTAAAAATACTCTTCCAAACTTAAGAAAATTTAGAGTTATTTGTTTAGAAAACGTATAATATAAAAATAACTTTTAAAAAAATTTTATGCCTTTTTTTATTTTATATCATCTTAACAATTATATGTAATTAAAAATGTAATGAATTTTTTTTTATTTGATTCACCTGGCAACACTTTATTCGATAACATGTGTAAATATGGAGTCTGAATCGGGAAGCGTGCCGAATTCAAAAGTGGATTTTAATGAATTAAGTAATTTATTAATTGGTCCTAATAAAAGGATAAGAGAAAATGTCGTTATTCCAGTCAGCATCGCTCCACACAAATTTAAAACGAAGGAAGAAATTATGATTGAAAATATATTTGAAAGTTGTGGATTTAAAACGGGCATAAGCTGTGTTTTAGGTAAATTTAAACGTTTTAAAATACTTTATGCTAATTTGTTAATAAAAAATGGATTAAATTTCTGTTATAAATTGATATTTATTTATTTATGACGAATGTAGGATTTGGATTAGGAGGAGCCATTGGTTTGTTTTCAGCCAGTGTTGATCCAAATCTAGCAGGTGTCAGTCAGGAAAAACAAACAGTTCGACAAGTGTTAAGAGATATGAGAATGAAAACAGTATCTTATGGTAAAAATTTTGCAATCATTGGAGCTGTGTTTGCTGCAACTGAATGTATTATTGAAAGTGTAAATATAAGAACGTTGTATAGTTTGCTTATAAAATAATATATTTAAAATTAAATTGCTTTTGTATTGATTTTATTTTTAGCATAGAGCAAAAAGTGACTGGAAAAATGGGACTCTGGCTGGAGCTGTAACTGGCGGTCTTATTGGATTGAGAGGTAAAATGTTTATTAAATTGGATTATTTCTGTTAAGTTTTCAAATATGTGCTAAATTAATTGAAAGAATACATCAAATCAAAGAAAAATAATCACATAATTCTTTTTATAGTCATTATATTTGTTATTTTTAAATATAAACGTCTATAAGCCTGCAATATGAGCTTCTAATCTGTTATTGTCTATTAATTAGTAATAAATAACTGTGAGTCCACTGGCCTTATTGGTATGATTACAGATTCACCACACATCTTTCTGATTTTTATTCATTAATGAATAATGTCTTGGAATGCATTTTGGCTTATTCAACAACTCTCTTTAGCTGCATTACATATATGATACATTTTGACAACATGGTATTATAGTTAAAAACATAAAAAAACCTAATTTTGGGAAATAAATGTATTAATGAATAAAAAACAGAAAGGTGTGTGATGAATCTGTAATCATAACAATAAGACCAGCAGGCTCATGGTATTTATTACTGATTGAGCTAGAGTGTTAGCAAAGTCTCTTCTATGCAGTTTACAGAATTGCATTTGTTCTCAAAATCTGTTTGATTGATTTTGATAAAACTTTGCCATTTTTCATTAACTACTATGAATAATCCAAAAATAATATGAAAAATGGGGGTCCAAGACTTCATTTTTGAGATACAAAGTCCTAATAAAAGTGTGTGTGTGACAAAGCGATATCGTGCAAATTGCGTGACAAAGTTGTGCGATGTCTCAAGGTTGCTAGCACATCTGTGTGTTTATAGAATTGAATTCATTCTCAAAATTTGATGGGCCAATTTTTATAAAACTATATTGATTGCAATTGAAGAATCCAGAAATGTAAAATTTAAATGTTGAAAATAGTGGTCCATGATTTCATTTTTGGTATAAAGTTGGGCTAAAGTAACAATATCCGTACTTCCTGAGCACACTTAACAGAATTTAGTGGTCAAATTAAAAAACAGCATTGCGTGTACCTAGAACCTATTTGCGTGTACCAGAAAATAGACTGAAAAAAAAACAAACAGAACATCACAAAAATAAAGCAATTGGCATCAATTGCTTTGTTCCTGGATTGCCTCTCTTTGCTGTAAAGTTCAAGGATTGTCTCTATGTGCCTGGCCAGTGTCTCCTGTGGCAAGTAAGGCCCTCTCCCGTAATCAGTAGGTGCAAAGATAGCCATTTTTGTGGTGGCAAGCACAAAGTTTGTCTGTTCACGACTGTCAGGTACAAGGATCACCTTTTGTATGTGTAACAATTGCAAGGATTGCTTCTTTGTTTCTGGCTCTACCTCATTTCTATCAGAATACAACAAAGTCATGCAATGTCCTAGTTAATATCTATAAGCCCAATAGTTATATTAAAGCCAAATGATAATTATTTGCATTTTAATTATTATTAGTAACAGTAATATAGCTCAATCTAATCTGGCAAATGTTTGGCTTTAATATTTGTTATTTTTTGGAAGAATTTTTTAAATTCCTGTTATTTTATGAACTTTTTAATAAATTATCTCTGTATTATAGAGTATAAGGATTATGATTTACTGATGTAAACAGCTGAATATTTTGTGATATATCATTTTTCTTAAAATTACAGTTTCTAAAACCTATCAATGATGTTAAAAGAGGACTTACTATACAATGTTCTCTGGAGTAAAATTTTTAAATTGGCAGTAAAATATGATTGATACAAATTAATAATTCTGACAGTCTCAAATGAAATAAAAATTTGTATTCATAAAAGCTTTGAGAGAATTAAAATATGGATTATGTATTAAGAGGTGATAGCTATTATTATGAATTTTGTTAGACTGTATAAAATCTTATAAAATTTTAGATATAAGTAAGCTTGTTAAATTATGTGTATATTATACAAAATTATCATAATACTAGAAATTCTTCCTTCAAGCATGATAGAACACTTTTTATAAGAAAGTAGAGATTGAAGAATTGACAAGAGTAGAGATTTCAAGAAATTCAAGAAGAGTTGCTAATATTTCTACATATTAAGTAGTTTATACTCTAGCTTGATGTTGTGATGCTGTTTCTTCAGCCCTTGACAAAGCCATTCTTACTTGATGTTGCTCAAGTCAGACTTCATGGTCTTTAAGGGTCTCAGGCATTCTTATTCTTTTAAATCTAGAATTTACCTGATCAATTTTACTCTTATGCTTTCCCCCAAGGCATTTTTTTGACAAAATAGCAAGTGTTTTTAATTTCATGTTGATAATTTAGTCCAAAGATGAATTGTATATACAGTACGTTAAGTAGAATAGCAATAGCATTATTAAATAATGGGTTCATTAGATTGTTACTTCTGATTGGATAATAGAACGCTACATAGTCACTGATGAAATTTTTTTTTAAAATTTGTTGTAGAAGTGACACTATGAGGCTATCTTTTTTTAAAGTTTAAATTTTAAATTTAATGAAGTAACTTTAAAATACATCATTTGCCAAAATATTTTAAAATGCAATCTAAGGGAAATTCCCTCATCAAGCATGAACTAAATGAAGTCACTGATGTCACTGCAACATAAGTGTGATCACCGATCCAAAATTGATAAAACGTTTATTCTATAGCTAATATTTCTGTAAAATAAATAGCCTATACTTTCTGTCAGAACATAAAAACAAATATAACCAAAATTTCATCTGGATTGGACAAAAATTGCAGGAGTTATAAAGAATTCATACACACACAGACAACAGCTCTTTTATTAGTAATAATTAGTAATATGGGAAGAAATAGGCATTGCACGATGGATTAAACATCTTTACTGTAGAAAAACTATTCTAAAAAAATAATCGAATAACTTACTAGGTTTGAGACCAACTAACTTGCTAGAAATAGTTTGTATACTTTGAATTTATTATCCATGATCTTTTCATATTGTTTAGTGGTTAATTTATAGCTACATGTAGATTGTACCTTTTGCAAATACAATCAAATTTCTGTATAATGAATTGCTCTTAAGAAATGTGGAGATTCATTATATAAAAAATTTATTAAATAGAAAATGCCACCAATAATGAATGTAAAAAAAGGTATGTTTTCAACATTCTACAGAAAAATTCATTGAAAAGAGATTTGTTATATGTTTTCAGTATATGGAAGTCTGACTGTTTTGATAAACCTATTTTGATTAGATTTATAATAATTNTTGAGACCAACTAACTTGCTAGAAATAGTTTGTATACTTTGAATTTATTATCCATGATCTTTTCATATTGTTTAGTGGTTAATTTATAGCTACATGTAGATTGTACCTTTTGCAAATACAATCAAATTTCTGTATAATGAATTGCTCTTAAGAAATGTGGAGATTCATTATATAAAAAATTTATTAAATAGAAAATGCCACCAATAATGAATGTAAAAAAAGATATGTTTTCAACATTCTACAGAAAAATTCATTGAAAAGAGATTTGTTATATGTTTTCAGTATATGGAAGTCTGACTGTTTTGATTAGATTTATAATAATTAAATTTTGCACAGTAGGCCTAATATGTGAAAATTTTATGAGAATATATTTTAAATCACCAAACAATAGTCTTATAGTTTTTCTTATATTATTGTGGTTGTTGTCAATTTTGGTTTTATTAACAGAATTTAAATGTCTTTTATTTGTGACAAAAGTTATCAAATGATTATTAATATTTTATTACAGTTTAATATTAAAATAATATTAGGAAAGGAAATAATTGTTTTAATGCTTCTTTAAGTTTTATTACAAGTATTCTTTTTTAATTTATCAATAATTTTGAATCAGATATTCTTTAAAATGATTTAAACTATAGATTATAGGATTAAATGATAGAAGTTAATATTGTAATAATTTTATTTTTTAGTAGATAATTTATTTCATTGATTTACAATTACTTGGATAAATTATTCTTGCTCAGTATAATAAATAATAATAATTTTTTTTCTAGCTGGAGTAAAAGCTGCAATTTTGGGTGCTGCTGGATTTGCTGCATTTTCAACAATCATAGATTATTATTTACGATAGCATTGAATTAGATAGCAAAACTTAATCAGTAAGTTTTATGCATGTATGTATCTATGTAAATCATATTAAATAAGATAAAGTTTAATATATGACATAAATAATTTAATTATAATGTAATTAAGGACAAATTATTCATTTGCTGTTAACAATAAGAAAAAAAAGAGTATATTTTTTATTGCAGTAAAGTCCAGATGAACTAAAGATCACTACTCCCAACTAAACAGTTCATACTCAGTTAAAATACAAACAAACAATAGGATCCTGAATATACATAATAAGAAAAAGTGTAAGAAATGAAAATTACAATATATAAAAGTTTTGTTCTTCAAAATTTTAATAATCTTTAAATTAAAATCGTGGAGTTTTATCATAACATTCATTATTTTATTTTAAATTAAAAACATATGTAGTTACTATCTTAATCTTTTAAATTTTCATAATTTTAATATAACAATATCCATATCAAAAATAAAGAAAGGCCTTATAGCAATATCTATTTTATGTTACAGGGATGTGACTGGACACTCTCTTATTAAGTTTTTAAGTTAATGTCATTCTTTGGGCACAAGTGATATCAACTTAATATATACATATATAATTTTTCTTAGTAAGTGCCTAATAAATTTCAAGTTGTTTGCCTTATATTTTGCCATAAAGATTATTATAATAATAAGGTATGAGAGAAGTGAAATAGGAATAAAATCGATAAACAAAACAAATTTTTTTATCAATTAGCCAAAAGAAACTTTAACTTACATTACTTTTATGTTATATTTTTTACATAAATATTTAATTTTGAGAATCTTTTGTGACCAGACCTCAAAAAAATAGCCGTTATCTCTTCTCTGCCTATGCTTTATAATTATAAGCTAATTCTATGCGTTATTATTATTTGCATTTGAACAAAAGTAGTTTATAGATATTTATATATAATTACATAATTCTATTAATTTTTATTAAGAATAATTATTGTGGAAATGGATGTATATTCTTCTTTATTTTTGATTAATAAAAACGAATAAGTGACTATTAACAATTTTGTCACAGGAATTTGGGAATGACTTGTAATTTGAATTGGTGTTGTTTATTGTATGAAAGTTGCTCAAGGAGTGGTTTCCTTTATTGTGAGAAAACAGTTGCCTGAAGAGGGATGTGGTCGTCCATCTGAAATGCATTGCAATAAAAGATATTTTTAGAGGTTGATTAAGTGATCTTGGTTTTTTTTTTTTAAAGATGGATATAACAAAAGAGATGTGACAAAATTGTTAATAATCTCTCATTGGTTTTTATTAACCAAAAATAAGAATTTTTATTAAATTTATTAATAAGAAATGAAATGAAAAATCAGTTTAAAGGCTTTTTATTACAAATTATAGTTATAAAACTCCTTAAATTCAAGGTTGCAACATTGATTTGTTGTTGTAATTAGTCAACGGAATATGATTTAGGTTTATTTTGAGAAATATTTTATCATTTCATTGAGTAGTTTTTCAGGCTTTTCCATATGAATGTGGTGATCTGAATCACTGATGCATTGCATTGTTAGATTGGGAAATGCAATTTTTAAGTCCTTTGAAGGTCTGAAAAAAATTAAAAATACAGTTAAAGTATATATATTGTACAGTACACTGGTGATTTCAGTGGTAGTTTTAGATATAAGCAGCTTAGGCTTTTCTAGGATTTCATGTTTCAGAGGTCTTGGATGTACAAAAATACGTTGCTTTTTCAGCTTGGTTCAGCATTCAGAATTCAACACTGGCTAAAATCCTAGATGTTACATAATATCAAGTTATGTTACTAGCTTTACATTATGTAAACTTACATGAAAAAGGGCCTTATAAGTCATTTTTAACTGGGTCAAGGATGGCAAGCTTTTTTCAGTATGTATGCCAAAGTAGGCATATTTAACTTTTAAAAATAATGCTGAAATTTTAGAGTTTCAAAAAGAGATGAAGTAAATACATTTTTAATTAGAATAAATTAAAAAAGCTGGTTGAGAAAAAATTTATGATATTATGAACTAAATGTAAAAATTGAAATTAAGATACATTGAAATCAATACAGTTAAAAGTAAACAAAATTGTATATGTTGTCTGCCAGACAATTCTCCCAACAAGCCACCTTGGACACATTCTATAATTTGCCATTGTTGACTTAGGACATTGCATAACCTAAAACCTCCACTGATTGGTGATTGTGCAACATTCTGTTATACTTACACAACATAATTAGATTGTCCTGCATAAATTAATAAGGTGTCTGTATAGCATAGACAGCGTAACGGATAACAGTTAGTTAATGACTTATTGACTCCTGATGATTCAAGTTCATTCAAATTAATTTTCCAGGTAAATTCATCTTCAACTTTTGCAAAGCTTTGCAAAAGCATTTTACGAAGAAACTGTTGCTAAAATGTAAAATGTTTTAATTAAAAAACATTGAAGATCTAAAAATATAAACAGTAGTTATTAATTTATTTATGTACAAAATTCTCATATTTAGAAAAGAAATTCAGTTTTTTTTGACATGGATACATTGCACTAAAAATATTACACAATTTGCATGTCTAATTTAGTTTGTATAATAAATATTTCCAGCATTAAATTAAAAGCAATATTTATATATAAAAAGACTTACTTTTATTTTAGTTTTAAAAAATTGGTCAACCTTCTCTTTTGCATTATTAAAAGATATTTGAGGTGGTAAAGACAATAGTGCTTCACGCATGATGCGAATAACAGCAGTAATTTCATCATCCACTCTGAGAGGAATATCAACTGGCGATACATCGATTAAAACTATCTTACAAACCAATTCTTCCTGAAAACAGTATGGAATTATTACAGTTAATTAAACATTAGTTAACAGAAAATTTATAAATTAAAATTTACCATTTCTGTTCCCAAAAGAATGGAAAGAATTCCACCTAGATTATGTCCCATTAATATCACTGGTCTATCAAATTGAATTAAGATTTCTTTTGCTTCTTCCACCAATAGTGAATAATCTGAATATGATAATGTTTTACTATCTCCATGATTAGGGAGGTCAAAAACATAAACCTTAAAGAATAAAACATATTTATGGATTGTTACAATGGATTTAAATGAGTATATATTATATATTATACTCATATTATGTATATGTATATATTATATAAGTAATTTTATAAACAACCTGAAACAGTTTTGGACAGATAATAGATTTTTTTTCAAATTGATTTGTAATTTGAATTTAAAATATATTTAATGATAATATATGGAATTTAGTATTGTACTTCATGGAAAAAAGCAATTGATCATTCAGCACTAACTGAGCTGGATGTTATTTATTTATTTATTTTTTTTCTTTCTTTGGAAAACTAATTGTAACATTTGACTAGAATAATATGAAAGTAAGTAAAATTATATAAACATATGCTTAGAATGTTTTTTAAATACTTCTTTAATCTAAATATTATTCCTATAAATTTAAATCAAATTCAAATTGATTTAATTCACATAATCATATAATCATGGTTATTACACTACATGGAAATATTGATTGATAATTTCATGATTCATAACAGCGAATGGATTGATTTGGATTAAATTTTTGATTCTAAAAACCATTATTTTGCTTTAATTCCTACAGGTACTAAACAGACAAAAATATTAATAAAATTATACAATTTCTTATCTTGCAAAGAGAACTGGAAACATTTCTTTTCCTGTAATCTTCCTATAAAGATACTTAATTTGAAATATTTTCAATATATGGTTTTTGTTACATGAACGTTGGAATTTTAATATGATTACTTGGCACATTTTAAAAAATATTCAAAAAGTGAATTTTGCATAAATGCAAATGAAATATTAATGACTTTTTTAACTTGAAATACACATCTTAACTTGATTTCATTAAATATACATAATCTGTTTATCATTTATAGTAAATTTTGAGATAACTTATACCCTGAAACCTTGGCTATAGACCACAGCTTGTACAAGGTTATAAACTTATTTGTAAAATTAATCATGTCATCAAAAGCACCTTAAAAGTGATGCTGTTTCTTTCCTATTGGTTTTTATTCTGGAGTCATATCCTAAAATCTTGGAGATAAGCTGTGTCCTATATACAAGAGTATCTTGTCCACAAAAGGTTTATTCTTCATTATTGTAATTAAATTTTAATTAACATTTTTGTACAACAAAAATAAATGAAAATCTTAAACAAGATCATTGTCCCATGTAGAAATTTAAGCTGAAAACCATTAATTTAACATTTAATTTATCATTATGCTTCATATATTGTTTGTAATTTAGAGGAGTTTCCTCATTTGTAAGAGGATTAGGAAAATAATGAAATATTTTATAAAGATTGTATAGAATTTGGCAAAACTTTGTCAGTTTTGACTTCAAAAAAACTCTGATAGATAGTAAAGAATTTTATATACAGAATTTTTATCCAGCTGATTCAATACTCTTTCTGTGAATTTAGTTTAAGAAGAAACTTTAGAAATTATTATATGGGAGTAAGTAAATTGGAGAGTTGTTGCATATACTGTGATATATATTAAAAACTCTGTTCCAAAATACACTTGTAGAGAAACTGGAAACTCATAAATCAAAATATCACTAACTCTACACCTTCTATACTTTTCCAACAGCATTTTAATTTAAAACAAATGTTTTTGACCCCATTCAGAGGTCTGCCTCAGGTTAGAAAACTTATATTACAAAATTAAATAAATGAACTAAGTTATAATGGCAGAACTGTTACAGCTTATTTTAAATTTACAACATTTGAAAACGAACTATTTACAATTTTGAATGTTTTACTAATTTAAAATAATTGTTTTCAGGAACTTTTAAGCTTATAGTAATCATTTCATTAAAAAATATTTTTAGTAAATTATCTACTATATTAAATAACTTTATAAATGTATAACATAATTTAATTTTTTAATTGAATTTTACAGAAATATTAATGGAGAAATCATAGCAAATAGTGATTTTTAAATTATTTTTCTAATTTAACTAACATTAAAAATATTTAAAGATTTTATGTAATTTAACTGACCTCTCTATTAAGTTTCTCAGAAATGGATTGTGCTAATTCTGCCCAATTTTCTTTGCAGTCAAATAGCCCATGAAAGACGAGAATTGGTGGAAGATCAGGATCCACATTCTCTGCTTTATGAACATTGTAAGCCCAGTGGAGATTCATTCTAGAAAGTAACATATAACATTTTTTTATATGTATAGTAAATTACCTTGTATATATATAAAAATTATATATATATATAATAAAACCTTGTGCTGTTTATGCAATTTCAAAACTTGCTCTAAAAAATATATATATTTTTTACTTCATAAATATATAATTACAGAACAGGAAAATTTAACAAACAAATAAAATTATTTTATTTGACTTCCTCAATTAATATAAACATTTATCATGTTAATTTGTAGTTGTTAAGTGTTATAAAATTATAATTATGAAGAAATTAGTTTAATTAATATATGAGGAAAATTATAAGTGATAATTTCTTCAAAAATTTTTATTTTTCTGATTTATTTACTTTTAAATTATAAAATGTGAATTATTTTATTTATTTATTTTTATTAAGTTGGAATCATTTAATGAAAATATAACAGAAAGTATTCATGAGATTGTCAGATTCTTCCATTTATAATGATATATTTTAATGATCAAGCGATACACAAAGAAGAATATAAAAATAATTTTTAACAATGATATAGGCATTTTTCTAGTTACATTATCTGTTTAGAAAAAAATATAAAACAGTAAATTTTTAAGTTGTGGTTGATTGTAATATAGATATTTTTTATTAAGAAATTTATTCAAATCTTACAAGTTAGTAATAGAAAGAAAAATATTAATCACTAACAAGTTTTTTTTGTAATTATAATTCTCAAAATGCTATTTTACTATTTTATCTTGAACATGCAATATATGAATTATAATTATATTACAGTACATTTTGGTACTCTTAATTTTTAAACTAATATTCAATTACAACTATGCCAAGATTTTTTCATCTGATCTTAAATGTATTCTTGCAAGTGTTTATAAAGACAAATACAAAAATAATTATATTGTTAGAATTTTCCTCATTAAATTTAACATATATTTTATTATGAATCATTTGAAAATTCAAACTCTGCTTTTTAAATATCTGACTAGTTGCAGAATTATTAAAAAATTCTTTGATTAGAATATTGAGAAATTCATATTCAAATTCCACATGTTTATTTATGATTGTTTCAAATTGATAATGCTCACAATAATTATAGTATGCTGGAAGCGTAATAATAAAAAAATCTAACTTAAAAGATAGAATTTCAAAGTTTCAGGGAGTGAAGTGTAAGCTTAAATGTACTTAACCCCTGAAATAAAATAATTTTGCTTTCTGCTTGAATAAAGCAGTCTCCTCTAAAGAAAAGACAAGAGAGACATAATATCTCTTGACAATGGCCTGAATTCTGACTTGGGTAGACACAAAAGTGTCTTTATCTGAATCAGATTGGTTACTGGATCCTGGCATGCTGGAGTATAAATAAGAAATGCTAAAGGAAGAAAGAGGAAGAAAGCTAACTAAAGGCCAAACTATAGGATCTCTGTCTCTATGGACAGAAAAACTATGAATGTATGCTTGAGTTGTCTTGGAATAAAAATTACAGATATAAGAGATTTACATGATATCATTTTTAAACCACTTCTTATATCATTTATTATTCAGCTAATATGTATAGTAGTTTTATGAATAATAATACATATTATTATAGTTATATCTTAACATGAATAATTTGTTTTACATTACAGTTATTGATAAATGATAAAAGTTAACAGAAACAAATTATTTTTTAATATATATTACAGTCTTAAACTTTCTTTATAAAGTTTTTGAAGTTTTTTGTTTTATAGTGGTTCCTCTTTTCTTTGCTGCAATGTTCTGCAGTCACTACAGTATAATTTTTCAAGGGCAGTTGGTCCCAGATATGTTGGGCTTTATCTCTCACCAGCCAGTCACCCTCATTATTGGTCTGATTATACTGATGATGGAAATATATTAAAAAAAAATTAGGAAATACATTAAGAGGGCCTTTCTTTTATGAAAAAAAAGGTTCTCTTAGTACCTACTGGGCAGAAAGTTTTAAAAAGTCACATGCTCTACACAGTCAAGATTAAAAGTATTACAATATTTACACACTTGGTTCATTCACGATAATCCTTTTATAAATTATAAGTAGTGTATTCACTTACAGGTTTTAAACTTTTATTTAAAAGTTTAAAAACACTGATGATAGTTTAAAGTTAAAAATTGTTCAAAGTATAGTTCAAAGTAGTTCCATCTGTTATGAGATTTTATTAAAAATTAATTTTTATATTATTAATTATTGTAAAAAGGCAAAAGCCTAAATTTGCAAGTAGAGATGAATATATAAAAAAATTATAAATGCCTCTAATGAGTAAAATTTTCATTAACCAATTACTAATAAGAATGCAAATTACTTTGAAGTTATAAATAAAGAGTTTATATTAACATAATATCAAAAATCTAGAGAATGAACAAATCTATTATTGAATATCTGTTAAGAAAAATTACCTCATTCTTCCCTTCTGTGGTTAATTCTGTATATATCAATGGTTCTATAAATTTCTATAATACATTAAAAATCATTTAAAAAACAAATTAACATATTTTAAAAAAGAAAATATAATAATTTAAATATTTAAAATACTTTTGTATATGAAAAAAATTCTGAGAAGTTCTGAAGAATGGACAAACAGATGAATTTAATTTTAAAATAATTAAATTGCTTTTATAAATTTAAATTTGAGGTGAAACAGACTGAAAAAAATTCAACAAGGGAAAACAATGGAATGTTATATTTAATTTGATTTAATTCCATTAACATTTAAAAAAAAATATATATATATTTTTTTATTTTATAAAAGGTCTTTGTCTTTATGAAGAGAAAGAAGAAAAGGATTTTTGTTTTAAATAATAATAAAAATATTGAATTTTTAAATGATTAATAAACTGTCTTCTAGTCAATACTTGAGAGAGGTGGAATAGTACTTAAATTAATCATCAATGTATGGGACCATCCTACTCTAAAAATAGTAAAAACATATGAATAAAATCAATAAAACATTAAATTTGGAATCATCATTGTCTAGACCCTGGACCAAATAGCCTTGTTAATTTTTTTTTGTATTTTTTGCTTCTAGTCGATAATTTCAAAACGTGCTTCTAATTGCTATAAAATCTTTATATTATTTTTAAAAAATCAATTGACATCAATAAAATAACAAGACAATTCTGTTTGGTAGAGTAATAGGAACTACAATACTAAATACCTTATCAGATATTGAATGCTTAATTTATTTGCTATTATTGACTTCCGATTTAAAGGAATCAAAATATCATTCGTTGTTTTCATTAAGGTATATTCAAAAATTGTCCAGAAAAAAAATTAATCTAATCAAATATTAAAAAAAAAAAAAATTATTATATGTACTGTACAGTATGTTCTATTTATTTGGTAGAAGCAGACTTGAAATTATCATTAACTTTTATTTTTAATATTATTTTAAAACTATAAATAGTTTTTAAATCAAACAGGGATTATAAATACAGTAAGATCTGTTCAAAACGGAAAAAATATTTGGTACAGTGCGATTCCGGTTTACACCGTTTTATTGTATAATAATCATTTATCCAGTAGCGGATTGAATTACCGGGGACCCCTCAACATAATTTTGAATTATTATTTATTTATTATTGGGCTGCAATTTTAAAAAATTGTAGACAAATTCCCACTGCCTTACTTTTCTTAATCTCGGGAACGAAGTTGGATAGATGCAATCCGAGACCAGATATGGAAAGTTTAGGGGCAGGAAGCCCCGATTAACTAGGCCTGTATACGAACTGACAATGAAAACAAAAGTCATGTTATTTCAATTCAAAAATATTCCCCGAAATGTGTTAAATAGATGACCTGCACGACTTTATTGTTAAAGGAAAAGTATGATGTACAGGGGCAAGCCACTATTAATTTGAGGTGGAGAGCATATATTTAAGTTAAATAAATGAAAAATATGATTAAAAATTGCAACCCGGCATTGTGATGATGTCACAATAAATAATTGCTTGTTGTATATCATAAAAATAAATAAATAACAATTGAAATTGTAAAATTGCTTTATTTTTTCCAATTTTGTCGTCTCGAGCGAGACCCGGGACACTTAGGCATGTGTCTAGTGGGCAATCCAGCATTGGTTTTATCAAGGAGCACGTTGCCTAGTAAAGCGGCTTTAATACAGCTAGATAAGCAAACTAATGATTGTAATCGGACTACGTCATTAGTTTGCTTATTCAGCTGTATTAAAGCCGCTTTACTGTACTAGGCAACGCGCCCAATATTTAATACAGTATTTAAAACAATTTGTGCAGTGTGGTGCCATCTATTAGACAAATTTGGATTATTAATCAAAAAATAAGTTTTCATTTAAATTTCTGTCTTTAATTTATTTGATTCTTAATATTTTTTTTAAATTTCGTTTTACAAATTTTGCCATTTTAGTAGTGTTTCTTGCAAATCTCTACGTTTTGAGACCACCGAATCCAAAAAAGTCAAAAAAATGGAAAGTTTTGTTGCGTGTGTTTTGGCGTCTATTTCCTTTAATATCTAAGGCCGGAGTAAAGATTAATAAACGAAATTTAGCACGGTAACTTGTGTATAAGAGACATTGGTGCTATTAAATTTTGGTAGTTAAAGGTCGAGGGGGTGTAGAGATAGAGGGGGTCATGTGACATATCTCTAGTGGGGTCAGACTTATTGAAAATTTTACTGGTTATTGTTATTTATAATATTTTAAAAAATTTATCTCTACCCTCGAAATTCTACTCTTTTTAAAATAATAATATAAAAGTTTTTCTTAATAACATGTCATAATAGATGGCGCCACACACAATTTTTTAAACTGAGTTAGTTCATGGCATAAAATTAAAATTGCGTGGCGCCACCTGTTATGAGACTTTATTCAAATTTTTTTTTAAATATTAATTTTATAAAATGATTAGGATAGAGATGAGTTTTATACTTTAAAAAAAAAAAGTGTAAATACTAATAACTAGTAAATTCTTCAAGAAGTCCGACCTCTATCTCCTCACCCCGTTGACAGTTAACCACCAAAATTTAATNGAGGAAAAAAATGTCATTTAAACTCACCCAAGCTATTAATAAAAACTATAAGATTTATTAGTATAGAAGATATATCTATTGTATAAATTAATCATAG